GAAAGAGGGCTCTGCTGGGACTGAGGGGGCGAAGGAGGAAAAAAGGGAGGAGGCCGGGAAAGCGCTAAGCAAACAGGAAGGAGTCGCTGCTGCTACTTCGTGTGAGCAAGCGGAGGAGCACAGTACAACAGTCCACCTCTCAGAGTCTTCGGAAAGAAAACCTCATTTTGAGGTAACTCGTTATTAAATCGGTCATGTCTGTGCTGAATTGTAAATGTAGGCAGTAGTGGACTGTTAATTCCTCTCGTGGAAAGCAAAGTGTACCAAGCTTGCATGATTGCATCTCCACAGCAGGCAGTTTGTTTCGGCTCTTTACTTCCTCCTTGCATGGCACCTGCAAGGCTTGTTCCTCGTTTCCAGTATTGGCAAAATGCCATGCATATTTTCCCTAAAAGCACTTTCCATGCTACAGAGAAATACCTGATTTGGTGTCTTTTTATGCAATGAATAACAAGAATTCAGCTGACATTCTCTTTGGGAAAGTCCATCAAGATTGGCAAAGTTCACATGTCCTCAGAGACAGAAAATGCATTTTTTTCCATGCTTGGCACAGTTGTAAATAAGTATACTGTGTCTTAAACAACCCAGGTTCCTTATCTTAGCCCCATTAGCGGAATTTCAAGGATTATTTTGCAGACAGGTTAGAAAAAAAACTTGTTCTTGCTCTTTTTTCTGAGAGCTGAATGGAAGACTAAGCCTGGGTAGGATTCGTCCTCTTGTCATTTTAAGAAAATGTATAAACCCAGAACGGCTGAGGTTGGAAGGGACCTCTGGGCGTCATCTGGTCCAACCCCCCTGCTCAAGTAGGGTCACCCAGAGCCAGTTGCCCAGCACCATGTCCAGCTGGCTTTTGAATATCTCCAAGGTTGGAGTCTCCACAACCTCCCTGGGCAACCTGTGCCAGCGCTTGGTCACTCTCACAGTGAAAAACTGTTTCCTGATGTTCAGAGGGAACCTCCTGCATTTCAGTTTCTGCCCATTGCCTCATGTAGTGTTTACATCTTTTCTGAAGCTTGTTTTCATGAAATCCCAGATAGTGCTAAATATTGCCAGCATTATATACACGTATGTACCATTATAATGAAGAGAATTTTCTTTTTTTTTTTAAATGCAGAGCACTTTTTAGTTGTTCCGCCTCCTTTTCCCAAGCAAAAAAAAAAACCCAAAACTATTCTGAGAAATCCAGAAGCTTTACTAAATGTTCCAATTCCTTTTTTTTTTGTTCACGCAGTCACCGGTTGTGAAGACTGAGACTATCAGTTTCAGCAGTGTTTCTGCTGGTGGGGAAAACCTTGAAATTTCAACAAAGGAAGTGCCAGTAGTCCATACAGAAACAAAAACCATTACATATGAGTCTTCTCAGGTAAGAAATTCTGCAAGACCCAGGGTCTAATTTAACATGGCCTTAAGGAACTCATGTTTCTTCACCCATCTTTAAGTGTATGCCTTAGTGTAAACTGTTCTAAGCTGTTGAAGTATTAAATATTAGCATGAGGAGGATATACATAAGTATAGCTTACCTGAGGGTGATTCTCACGTCCTGGTGTAGGGCCTTTTGAGAACATTGATGAAACTACAGATTTCAAAGCTCAAGCTTCTCATCTGTCCTTCCAGAAGCGAAGGGGAGTCTCCAGACACAGAGAAAAATACTGACACCATCACCCTAATATCAGTTGTTTCCCTACCGTTAGATACTCACTTTATGAAGAACTGTGGAAATAGGGAAGTTCAGCCAGCCCAGTCCTTGCCTCCCTGTGCTCAGAAGCATGTTTTTGATGACTGCTTTTCCCTTTCGGTTCCCTAGGTGGATTGCGGTGCTGACTCAGAACCAGGTGTATTGATGAGTGCACAAACTATCACATCTGAAACAACCAGCACTACAACCACTACACATATCACCAAAGTGAGTCCTCAGAAAACAGGGAGGTTTTTTTTCACAAGGGTGTATATTTTCTTAACTTCAATTCTATTATTCATTTTAAAATGTGGACACATGCTTATACTCTCTGGACAAAATCCTGTCTGTTTTGGGTACCTGTCTTCATTCACCTGCCTTCGGTTATACTGGCTTCATTAACGCGTCATCCAAGGACTTGACAAGAGTCCTGAGAGTCATAAACCCTTAGGGTATGTCTGTGCAAGCACAAAACGTTGCTGTGCAGAGATACTTGAGTTAGCTGCAAATACTATCTGGAACTGGAAGCAGTGTAGCCACGTTGGCATCATAAGGTAGCCAGGAAGGAATAATCTGCCTGAGCACAAGGCTCCATTGACATGACTATACTGTCTTTGAGTCCTGAGCCGTTATCCCTGCACGGTGTTGAAAGCACATAGTGAACCTGTATCATGTAGTTATAACAGGACGAGCAGTCAGCTCAGACGCCGCAGTTGCATTGCTGGGTTGTACCCTAAGGAATTTGCCCACAGCGAGACAGAAAGCTTATGACTGCACAGACAAATGATGTTGGGTCTTTCAAGTTCCAAGATAGCATCTAAATACCAGTTCCTCCCTAAGCAGAAACCCTCTTAGTGCCATGACAGCTCTCTACCAATATTCACTGAGAACAGGATTTCATCTTTCTGCAGTGAAATTCACCCTTCAGTAGATGAGCTATACAAAGGCCGTACCACCCTGTATGTCCTTCTGAAGCCTGCAGTTGGACTTAACTAGGTCTTAATATGAGCTGTCTGTATGTCCATTCTTTTCTTCATGGGTTGAATTTACCATACACACCTGTCATTTTTGACATACAAACATCTCTCCTGACACGTGTGCAGATTGATTAGAATCATCAATCAGATGTGATTGAATTATCACAATTAGAATCATCAACCACCTCTGGAGGTCATCAAGTCCATTCAGAGCAGGCCAACTTCAGTGCTGCTCTGGTTGCAGTTCAGGGTTGTCCCCTCTGTGCATGCTGTGTGAGATAGTTCAGTCCAGTCATGTCTGGGTTCCTGCACTGATCGTTCTCTGGATGAGTAGCAGCAGTCTAAAGTAAGTTACTGACATGCATTTGTCCCCCCCATCTAGACTGTGAAAGGAGGCATCTCAGAGACAAGAATTGAAAAACGAATAGTCATCACAGGAGATGCAGATATTGATCATGATCAGGTAAAACCCGTAAGCTGCTAGAGGCTACCCTGAAGACTGCCAAAGAGAACATTGCTAAACATTGGTTTAAAAGATACTATTCATACTGGCATGCCTTAAATTAAACTGGATTAGTAGTTAAATCAGTGATGGTATATTTCATATTTTAATCATTTTCCTCATTTGTAAATTGTGTAATATCTCATGAATCTCTCCACCTTGCTACTGATCACGCATGTTCCACCTCCTTTTTGTTTTTGCCCTTCTGTGGTTTCCTTGGGATAGGCGCTGGCTCAGGCAATTAAAGAAGCCAAAGAGCAGCACCCTGACATGTCAGTGACCAAAGTAGTGGTACATAAAGAGACAGAAATCACACCAGAAGATGGGGAGGATTGACCACAGGTAAGAGGACTAGATGATTTTCCTAGGCATTTACTGGGCTGGCATGTTGCAAAGGTTGTTTTCCTACCATAATTCACCTCTAACTCTTTGCTTTCTCTCACTGGCATTTGCAAGTTGCGTTTGTGCTGGTTATCGGTTCTGGTATTTGAATGTAAACCACATTCAGCTCTAAAAGTCTTTCTTCATTTCACGGTGCCAGCTGGAGAAAGAGAAACTACTCATTTGCTTTTGTTGGCTCTCTGGAAAGTCCTCATTGTCCATGCTTTGATACAGTCTAATTCTCTAATTCTGAAGTCAAAAAAAATGTGTTGTCTGCTTTTCTGTCATTTAAGAACAAAAATAATTTGTTCTTAAAGGTATGCATTTTGTTTAAAAAAGCCAAGGGAAAAACCTACAGCTGCTTTTTAAATGTCCCCCGCAGATACGTTACAAGTTAAGCTTTCATTCCTAACTTGCAAAGATACGGTCCAACTTGCTTTTGATTTTTCTTTTAAAGCCAGTGGATTAGTGTGTTGGTATTTAGATGTCTTGGCTCTCTTGTATTTGAAAGAACATTTTATGTTTTAAAGCAGCATTGTTTATCAGGATGAGATGATAATGCAGCTTTTCTCGTGTCAAGCTTTTTTTCAGTGAAGGCATGCTCTCTAATTGTGGCTGGCTAAACAGGCGTCTTAATATTACTATATTTATTCTATGTGCAAAAACATGTCATGCATACTAACCTGCTATGCAAAAGCCCTTAATGGCAGCACCATTCCACAAATTGCTTTGAATGCTGTATGCAGAAGGGGAAAAAAAAGCTGCTTGTCTGATTTGTTTAAATCGATAGCAGCATTTTGTTCTTAAAACAATATATATTCCCTAGCACTTGGTGTAAGTAACAGAGTATGATGCAGAGCACCTTTTGAAGCTGTTTTGCTCTCCTGCTTTTGGATGTAGAGACCCTAAAGAAAACTGAATTTCAGTATCTGTTACTTATTTGGAAGGTGGAACCAGTCACTGAGGAGAGAGTAGCTGTGATTCTTGTGGTATTCTGCTAAGTGTTTCAGAGACAACGTAACGTGGCTTGCTTAAAAGTCTATTGATGTCACTAATTCTTTCCATTGACGTCAGTGGATTTTTGATTTGGGCCAAGTTGCTTATACTGGGATGATGCCGTTTTCGAGTAGCTTTTGTTACACGAACAAATTGACACGATCTCTTTTGCAAGGGAGTAGTTGCTTCAAATAATTAACTCGGTTCTCTTTCCTGCAGGAATAACCTAGATTGCATATGAATCCAGACATGCACACCAGTAGGAATACGAGAGCCTATACGGAGTCTCAGTTCCAACCTGACTGACTTGTATCTGTCTATGGAAAATTTCAGTACAGAAGAATTGATCTTGACCGTTAATAAAGAAACTGGCAGAGATACCTTCCCATAGAAAGCAATCTGAATCAGCAGCAGTTAAACAATATTGCATGAAGCAACGATAAAGTTACAGAAAAGCAGCATTTTTAATTTTCTTAAAATGTCTAAGTTTTCAGCTATACCTGCACGTTCATAAACAATATAAACAGTGATCTCATGTAACACATAAACAGTTCATGCCTTTCACAGTTTATGAAAGTCTAAACAAATTAAAATTTGTTAGGTGGCAAGCCTTTTGTTTACGGATATTGTAAATGAAGATTACCCCCAAAATGCTAGAAGCTGTATAGGTACTGTGTATAATGTTTTACCACACATTAGATGTGCCAATAACACAGTTTATTCAGTAAACAACTTGAATCTTATATTTGTTTCATCTGGTTTTATTACTGCCCGATAAACGATGACAAATCTTTACTTTTATCAAAATATTTAAATGCTTACAAAGTGTGCTTTGTATACCTGACTGAATACCTTATGAGGTAGTAATGATTTTAGTATATTAACTTCAATGATTTTTGTCAGCATTGTTCAGAGTCAGCTTCCAGCCACTCTTCACAGATCCTAACCTTGTAAATTATATGTAGTTATTTTGGAGAAAAAAAATCTGTATTTTACTTAGTTCGCAGCATTAGAAAATTATTAATCTGAAATAACCGTGATGGTTTTCTATTGATTTCCCTTTTGTTCTCAGAGGAAAAAAAGAAAAAAAAAATCTGTTTGAGAATCTGGTCAGCATTTACTATCTAGTTCAGAGTCAAGCCTTAACCTGTACAGAACGTCCACTGAAAACTCGTTAGTGTCCAGCTATAATACCCACTGAAGGGATAGCGTCCATTACACTGTCAGCTGCATCACAACACATGGTGAATGTATGTTTCTGCATAGTGAAATAAAAGTGGTAAATGCATCCAAAATTGTATTGTTCTGTGTCTAAAAGCACCTAGTGTTTTTTAATATTCAAAACGTTAAGCTACATTTGTAAGACACCACCGGTTTTACTCATCTGCACAGTAGACACGTTTTGTCTTCAGCGGTGGACACTGCACTGTGCAGACAGTTGGAGTTAGTGGAGCATCAAAAGGGATGACAGCAATCACCTTTGGGCAAATGATGTTTGCGAAGGAAAAGGCGTACTTGGTTCCTTCTGTTTTCTCTGGTTGTGTACCGTTTCATCGAAGCTAAATGAAGGCTTTTGTGGTTGCTTAGATAGTAAAGGCCAGTAGCGGTTGATCTAGATCCACTCTCTTTTTGTACTTTTGCTCTGAAACGTGGATAAAATTCTCTTTAAAGCAGTACTTACTTATCTGTTCCTTTTTCTTGCTCCTTTGCCACGTCTCATTGACGCTCCCCTGGTAGTTCAAGAGAAATTCGTAACAATTAATTCACACTTCAGTCTGTATTTCCTTGCAGGATTAAAAGAAATGGGTACAAGCAGACTTTTCAGGACATAAAGGGCCAAATTTGCCCTTCGTTGTTTACACAGGGCTCCCTCACATTGAAGTCAATGGATTTGGCTTCAGTGGAGAGCAGGATTTGACCCAGTGACTTGTTAATAAATGTTTATTTTCTTAATTTAGAAAGAAAAATAGTATATATAGAGAGAATAACCTGTAGATAATAATTAAAAGTAATATCCCAAGGCTTTTAAAGCTTTGCCCTTAGTCTCTAAAGCATCTTCCTTCCACCAGCCATGCTTCATGCCTTTAATCCAGAGTGCTAACTATGTAACTCCCCCTACCGCCATCATTGCTTACCTCCCGCCTAATGACCAACGCAAAGATTAACGGTCTGTTGAGATCTTTGATTCGCCTCTCCTCCTCCTAGTCCAAGAGCATCTATGTTCTCAGCCCTCCCGGTGACGGTAGGCTCAGCTCTCCGGTGCTGCCCGCGCCCGGCGGCAGCCAGGGCTGGAGGAGGTACTAGCCCTGTGTCTCAGCAGACGGCATGCCAGGTTCTCGGCTACTGCATCAGGAGTTTAAAAATAGACTCTGAAGCCATATCGATCTTCCCTCAGGTGCCCCTCATGTTGTCAGCTAAGAAACAGCATTGTATTACCTCAGAGAGATGCGAGGCGATTGCACAGCCTTCTCTCCAGAGTTAGCGTTATATTTTAGCATGGCTTGAGGAGATTGTACTTTGGTGATACTGCACAGTATGTACGCTGTCTAAAGATACTGTATCGTAAGAAGTTAGTCTCCTTGGAAAGGACGCTCACAGCTAAGATACGGCCTAAGCATATGCAAACTATGAGGAGATGAGAGTGGACAGGCAAGGACATCTCAGTGCCACTGTTGGCAGTAGACCCTTGTTTGGGGGATGGTTCCTGGAAGTGATAGCTTTGGTTTTTGTTAGAAACTGTTTCTTGGGTTGTCTGCCTAATGCTGTGCCACATGAAATAAAGAACACCTGCCTGTTTCTACCAACCATCTTTTGTCTCCGTCTCTTCTCATTTATTGTTGGTCTTTGTCCGGCTCCTCGACGTAAAACAACTTAGAAAACAAACCATCAAATATTGTGTTACTTGAAAGCACCATTACCAACACAGACACCGGTACAGGATGCAGCCTCGCTTGTTGCAGCTGGAGTCACAGCTTCAGCCCTGTGAGAACTGGCTGCTCTGCACCGTTGAGATAAGGGACCAGGATGGCCAGGCAGGGCTTTGCGCAGCAGGCAAGAGTGGGCATAGCAAGCGATCACAGCAGTGGTGACCATTACAGATACAGAAAGAATGAATACATTGCCTTGGCATTTTTAAGGCTGTTTGGAATCAGTAAACATTTATCCCTCTGAAGTTTTTTAAGGCTGTCCCATCACCAATGGCAAGTAATGGTGTTCTGTGCTCAAGCATATAAAAAAAAAATTAATGGGCCTCTAAATCCAGATACTAGATCAAAGCAAGGGTTTAACAGCTTAGTCTTATTTCTTCCCAGAGCAGATTTAGGCAGCTGGTGAGATGATGTGGCTCACCTGTACAACAACTTGTATCTGCTGAAATTATAGTTCCTTATAAATAGTTCTTCACAGCAAATAAATTGGACGTTGGGTCTTGGCTTCAGTTTGGCAAACACCCTGGCAAATCTTGCTGCAGATTTCTTGCCTTGACCCAAAATAGTTCTGTCAGTTAAGATGACAAGGCCCATTTACAAGCTTCGCCTTTACATCTTCACAGGTAATAAGGGTGAGGTAAAGAAGTGTGTTCCCCTTTTTTATACGGGAGCAGTAATGGTCCAGGTTCTGCAGAGCGAGGAATCAAACCTTGATTTTTAATCATTTTTCCTAGTCTAGTCTATTAAATGTTTGTGACGTGCCTGAGGCAATGCTGAGATACGTTGCATCATTTTTTTTTAATGTTTGTTGAACACACCAGCAGCACATACTATATACTCTTAACTGTATTGCCCAAACAAAATCCTGTTCAGCCAACCACATGTTCGATCAAGCTGGCTGGCATCATTTTTTATATTGTTAGTTACCATACAGTCAGAGACCCTCCGCAAAAACCTATCTCAAATGAACAAAGTTCAAACCGATATCAAAGGAAACCCCATTTTCATTTGACTTTAGCTATTACAAAGCATTAAGAAGAAAAGTGGTGTTTTTCAAGGTACATATGTCCCAAACTACAGTTCACTGTTTTGAAAATTGTTCTTAGCTCTTCTATATTGTTAACTTTAAGGAAAATCCTTAATTGGGCAATTTCCCATTCCCAAGTCTTAGATCCACTTACTCCTGAAGTACATAAAAGAGTAACACTCGGCTGATGAGAGGAGATTAAAAACAATTGCTAGATTCTCTTCTTTCCTCTTCCCCTCCATTACGTAAAGAAGCAGATACTTGTTTTCAGGTGTTTTCTGTTGGTTGAAACCTCCTTCAGTTGACTCTACTGATGTAATCTCTTGAGATGCCTTTGCAATTTCTTTTGCTCCTGAAACCCACTGTCTCTAGTTACAGGCTTCCATTGTTGATGTTTTCTATGGCTATGTGCTAATGAAATGGCACCAAACAAACTCTCCATCAAGTGGAGTAAGACCTAAGTCCTCTCGAACAGGATCTGGGGCTGGATGAACATGAAGAAGTGCTTTCTACGACAACAGGAGCTGAACTGGACCTCCTGAAGTCCTGTATAGATCCTAAGGTACAGTGGCGGTTTGAGGTACTATGGATGGACTATGAGATGATTATGGGTGGACTAATGGATGACTATGAGAAACGCTTACTCCATTGCACATGTTTTTTTTAAAGAAAGAGTAAATGAAGCACTTTTCTTAAATCTATGGATTCCAAGGCTGTATCAGTCTTACACTGCAAATGATGGTTTGCTGTGTCTTTTGTCATTAGTGTTACGCCACATCAGCAAAGAGGCTGTCCGTAGTTGCTCTGGGTTCCCTCAAAACCAGCCTTCCTAATAAAAACTTGGTCATACACTTAAAAAGACTGTTACTAGTTATGCACCTTTTAGTTCTGTCTCAAATAGGGATTTAGGTTTAAATCAACAATGAGGCATATTGCTGGTAGTTTTTATACAAAAATGTTTTCCACAAATTCCTGTATTCATTAACTGAAACCAGATTATTCTGTTATCTTGGAAGTACTGTTAGCCCTTGTTCATACTGTAAATTACTCTGGTTTATGCCATTTGATTCCTCCTCCACCCTTTTTTCTGTCTCCCGTTCAACATCAGTCCTGCTTCTCAGCTAGAACTAATGGCTGCTGCAAAGACTGTTAGGAGCAGAATTTCAAAAATCCTTGTTTAAAGGAAAACCAATACGCTCGCATGATGCAAAAATCTCAGTCAACTCTCTTCCTTCCTCTTATGCTCCCAAATGCAGCTATAACCTCCATAAATCAATGACCTCACTCTTGCAGCTGAAATGACCGTCACTCACCGTAAGTAGGATTAATGGCCTGTCTTTGAGAATGACTACAGCGACATAGAGGGGAAAAGAAAAAAAAGATACAAATGAGTACTGACACTAGAAATTATTTTCATTTTTAAACACATTAGACTTTTATCTGTACAGTCTACCAGCTCTGTTTTCTCCAATGCAGAACTTAAATAAGAACCTTTTATTCTCTTATTTTGTCCAGAGTTTACTAGACATTTCTTTTTCATTTTCTAGAAGTATCGGCCACAACAACCCCATGCAGCGCTACAGGCTTGGGGAAGCGTGGCTGGAAAGCTGCCTGGCGGAAAAGGACCTGGGGGTGTTGGTCGACAGCTGGCTGAACATGAGCCAGCAGTGTGCCCAGGCGGCCAAGAAGGCCAATGGCATCCTGGCCTGTATCAGAAATCGTGTGGCCAGCAGGAGTAGGGAAGTGATCGTGCCCCTCTACTCGGCACTGGTGAGGCTGCACCTCGAATACTGTGTTCAGTTTTGGGCCCCTCACTACAAGAAGGACGTTGAGGTGCTGGAGCGTGTCCAGAGAAGGGCAATGAGGCTGGTGAAGGGTCTGGAGAACAAGTCTTATGAGGAGCGGCTGAGGGAGCTGGGGTTGTTTAGCCTGGAGAAAAGGAGGCTGAGGAGAGACCTCATCGCTCTCTACAACTACCTGAAAGGAGGTTGTAGCGAGGTGGGTGTCGGTCTCTTTTCCCAAGTAACAAGCAATAGGACGAGAGGAAATGGCTTCAGATTGCACCAGGGGAGGTTTAGATTGGACGTGAGGAAAAATTTCTTTACTGAACGAGTGGTTAAACATTGGA